GACAGTCGTTGTTAATGTAAAAAATATTTTTTTGAATGGTTATTTCTATTAAGCACTGTGTCACACTGAATTACTTGTAGACAGATACAGTCACGTGCCAGGCAGGTGTAACATTATGGTTAGCATACAAAATCCATTTCCATAGCGAAGATACTGCACTTAGTCATTAATAGCATATCTTTTTGTGTCATATTCCTGGAAGAAATCCATATGTTACTACATTTGAATCAGTTATGAAACATAGTATTTTTCACCTCCGTTGTCTATACTGAGGGTAAGAAGGCAGTGGATTGGATCACAACAAAATCTCAATCTGTTGTTTATCTTGGTGCAAATTTCCTCCAAGGGAAAGCGTGGAGTACAATACAATTTGAATTTATTTATCACTTTTCACAGAAGGAGGGCATCTCAAAATGCTTGACAAAGGTGGGCACCTGAATTGGGAGTGGGAGCCAAGCAGGGTAGGGGAGTGGAAAATTGAATGAAAGCACGGTCAAAGAGGTATGTTTTGAAATATGGCTGGAACGAGGGGTAATGGGGCGGGGGGAGGGGGAGGGAAGCAAGTTGGAGAGACTCTGGGATGAAGTTCCAGAGAGCAGGGGAAGAAATGTCTCAAATTGTGGGACATGTTTGGCGGGGAAATGGAGTTGGCCTATTTTTGTTGAATGAATGGAGCAGCCGAGTCAGTGTAGTTATGGGAATCCAAATCGTAAATAATTTCCCTAAGTGGGCAACATGTCCGTCCTTTGCACTGTGAGCACTGGCTTTTTTCCAGGCCAGAGCTAGGACCATAATCCAGTGAGATAAAGAAAACCAAAAGCAAAATCTATTTGTCTTCCAAGGTTCCCTGCACTCCCCTGGCAATTTGGTGATCAATGTTAATTAATATAATTGTATTCTTACTGGGGGATGCTAACATCAATACATGATGTTTGGTTGTACATCTTTTGATCAGATACAGACTTTGATCATTTTTCATTCATTCAGACTTGTATTTTGATTCTCACTTCAGCACTTTTTTCTGTTTAACTCCATGCTTTCCATCTGTAGCTGGGAAGACAAGTTGGCCTGTTTTCCTTCACATAAGATTTTTTCGTGGTCATAATTTGTTATGCATAAATTTCCCTTGAGATACTCCGCTGTGAATATGTAGAACATATCAAATTCCCCTATTGAAAATGACTGTTTTTAAATGATAGTCATTTGCTCTGGGGATTCAAACCTAGAATCCCCAGAGCAAATAGTCTGTGATAATTTTTGTCAAATATTAAGCTTGTCGTAAGTCAGGAATTTTGAATTGAACATTGTTAATTGAGTTCCAACAAATATACTTAATTCATGTATTCAAACTATATTCAGGTTAGTTATCTCCATGCCTTGTAACGACGTACCTTAGAAATATTCTTACTTTTTTATATTCAAAATAAATATCTAGCCTTACAATAGAATTTTTAAAATTATTATAAAAATGGTAATTTAAATTAGATGTCTGCCTTGCTCCTTTAGTAACACTCTCACCTCTGATTCAGGAGGCTGTAGGTTCAAGCCTCACATTGTGAGTTTGAACGCACAGTCTTGGCTGACACTTGGGGGTGTGCTGCATTGTTGGAGGTGCTGTATTTTGGAAGAGACATTGAACCAAGGTCCAGTCTGCATGTTCAAGTGTACTTCAAAGATTCCATGCCATTACTAAAAAAGAGCAGTGAGTTTCTCCCGGTGTCCTACCCACCAATTCTCCAGATGAAATTGGTCATTTATTTCATAACAGTTTGTAGTATGTTGCTGAATGCAAATTTGCTGCTGCATTTGCGTACAAGATACACAGTCACTGCCCTGTGAAGCATTTCGTGATATTTTTCTGATATAAAGAGTGCATTGGATTCAACTGGAACAATTCATTTGGTGCTGATAAAATGCAATTTGTTGTTGTTATAGTTCTAGCTTTCCATTTGGTATCAGAAATCATCTCAATATCAGGCAAAATCTACATCATTATTGTAAGTTACAGCTAATACACCATGTGGGTATTAACACAATCCATGCTTTGTGAAATTAAAGCCAGTGGACTTTACACTCTGAAATCTACATCTACAAAATTCTACAAAGTAATGTTATGTGTGCACATCTATCAGTTAAAGTAAGATTTGATAATTTCAAGTCTTCAAAACACTGTCCCTATGGATTCCTTTAATTTCCCTTGTGAAGTTAATGTCTAGTGCCAATTTTGAATATGTATGACAAGTTCACTAATTCTTTTGCAGTCATTGAACTAGATGTAGAATTTGACATAATGTTGGTTGGTGCATATTTCCTTCTGTTGAAAGAATAAGCCTTTCAAACATCTATGTGTTTGAAAATCCTTCTCTGCAATTGGTGCTATCTGGAAATGCTTGAAAGTTGGAGTTAGTTGCACAGCGCAGTAATGGTGTTATTTTTGTGTGGAGGAGGGGGAACCTTTAGCTCATGTGTGCTTTTTAAATCTGACAGCTTTCATCTTTTCTTGATATCGGGTTCTTTCATTTCCATTCTCTTGGAGCTTGCCTTACCTTGACCAGCACAGCAATCAGTAATATCCTGATCCTTCCCTTTTCAAATTATTTTTTTGCTGATACCCACCTGCAGAGGGTGTTGAAAGTAGTTCAGTTTAAAGAGCATGTCATTGCTGGATGTCTCCTTTGATTCAGAACTTTTACTGACTTTGGCAAGCCAGTCATTAATTAATTCATTAATTAATTAACCGTTCATTAATTTGTCATCCCCAATACATTGTTGATTACTATGCTTGGAGACTTCCAGGAACAATTCTACTCTAGTCCCTCACATTCAGGGTTTATCAGTGGAACACAATGAAGATCCATCTATTACATTTCTTACAGGGATTCCTTCTGCTTTTCTCCACCTCCACAATATCGCCCATCTTCCATTCTGCTCCTCCCAAGTCCTGCCGACGAGCATGGAAGTTGGTCAGTCATCAGCAGTGTTCTTTCACCATCATTATAATAAAACATATCTTTGCATTTGATATAGCACCTGATCACATCGTCGAGACATGTCAAAACCCTTCACAGAATATACTGTAAAGTGGATTGACTGTATATTTTGTGGGCGAAATGCGGCAGCGAATTACGCACTGCAGAGTCCCACAAACTGTCGTGGTTTGGACTGAACAATTTTAAAAAAAATTGGGAGTGATTATTACCACCACAAAGCAATTCTCCAATCGACTAACAACTGGGTTCCTATTTACTGCTTGGTAAGCAGAGACGTGTGGTATAAGGAAACTTGCCTTAGGTTTTGCCGCTTGGCCTGATGTGCAGCCCCCATTCTCAAAATCATGTTATAACTTATTGTAAAGAATACAGGATTGTCTTATGAAATCTATATCTCAAAACAAATTGTCTAATTAATTGTAAAATTAGCAAGTGCTTAAATCCCAAGGAATGTAACTCTTCCTTTATTGCAATCTGCTTTGGGGAACAAAAGTATGCATTGTGCAAAATTTAAGAGTACTGAGACAGTTCACATTTCTTGCCAACTGAGGGATGAAATCTCACTTGGTGTTCCATCGCAACGACATTGACAATGCCTAATGGGATTTCCACATTATAACCACGCATCGTCAAAATCGCTACATGGAATGCTGACTGATCTTTCAGCTCTCTGAAGCAGAACTTGATGCCTTTAATGGAGTTATATTCTAGAAATGGAAACTTTTGATGAAAAAGAATGAAGGGGTATCTCTCGGAGAGCAGCATTGGAGGATATAAGGATAGTGCCAATATAGTAATAATAATGCTTGTATTTTGATATAGTGCCTTATCACGTCATTGAGACATCTCAACTTAATTCACAGAATATACTGTAAAGTGAATTCACTGTATCATTTTGGGCAAAGCATGGCAGCCAGTTGTACACAGCAATGTCTTACAAACAGTCGTGGATTGAGTGAACCTATTATTATTTTTTAAGCGATTATTACCCCCAGAAAAGCAATCGGCCAGTTGACTAACAACTTACTGTTCCTACTTACTGCTGGTAAACACAGACATGTGAAATAAGAAAATTTGCCTAAGGTTTTGCCATAACCAGGAATCGAACCTGGGTCCTCTCGCCTGCGAGGCGAATGTTAAATATTTTTTTTCTGAGGCTGCATGAGTATGATTTTGATCACTCACGTCAAGATAATTCCCATAATATCAGGAGTCGGAGAAAAAAAAGTTTAAAACTTTATGGTCAAAAACTAAATACCTCAGATTTCTGGTAGCAGAATAGTTTGAAAATTGGAACATTGGAAAAGGGGGGCAGGCATGTCACCATTGGCCATTCAATGCATTACACCAGGTTTAGTGTGAAGCTCACAATCACATTGAATTATATAGATTTACACAGAATTACATACAGCATGGAAATAGACCATTAGGCCAAACTAGTCCTAGCGCTCTGGGATGCTACCCTGCAGGAGGGACACTGTATAAATGCAAGCAGTTGTTGTTGGTAACAACATTGTACATGTTGATGCTTTCTATTTCAACCATAGCTTCTGGCAATAAATTCCCCATTTTGATCCACCATTTGCATAAATAAGGTCCTTCTAAACTCCCTTCTAGATCTCCCACTGGCTCTCTTACATTCATGTACTTTTGATGTATTAAGCTCACAATAAACCTTGTTAATACTGTGATAAGTTAAGGAATACATTAAAGGACATTGCAAATGTTATCTCAGAGTGTTGAGGTGAGATCTATGAAGGGGCAAATTTTAATGTGAGAACAACAGGCCTGTGTGAGGACTTTTTAATCTCCTAAGGAGTTGTTGGCTTGCCCTTCCTTAGCATTTAATTCCAGCTTCAAGGCATTTCTTAGCACTAAAAACACAACTGGATGTTTGAAGTGAAGACTCCAAAGCCTGTCAGCAATAAAGGGTAGCAAAAGGCAAATATTGAGACTCTCAGTAGAAAGCATAAGACTGCCATCTCATACAATGGTCCTCTATTCACACAGCAAGAAGAGAAGATTCTGGGGGGGAAATTAAGAAAACAGGATCGCTGAAGAAAAAAGTCAAAGAACTCAAGATATTGGATAACAAAACAGCACAAAACCTTTGTGAGTACTTTTTTTTTGAAATATTGATTTATAGATATATTTTTAAACTGATGATGTGCTCTATTTTGATGAATTGCTTCTTTGTAATGATTAATACATCACTCTTTATTAAAAAAAATTGTGAATGTCAGATTTCAACGACTCCTGCTTTTAATCCACTGAGCATGTTTCCATCATTTCAGATTTTCTCTCCTTTTGTTGTTGTTCCCTCTCAAAAGCCATATTCCTAGGATCCTTCCGCATGCCATACTACGAGATAAGGAACGCCATTCTGGAAGTAAATGAGGAGAAACTCACAGAATCTTTAGTTCAGGTAAGAAGAAGTGCAGATAGATATTTGTACTGGGTAATGCTGTTGCTTATTCAGGATACGTGTGCTCGTGTGTGTGTGTGTGGTAGGGGTGGGGGGAGTCAGGAGTCGGGGAAGAATGTGAAAGGTGAGAGAACGTGAAAGGTAAAGGAATGCTGAAACATGTCGTAATGTGATTGTAGAAAAATCAAAGGGATTTTAGGTACTCAAACAATTATATTAACAACTTGAAAGAGTGCCAAATACTTGGCAGATTGTTGAATGTACTACTGCAACAGCATCTCAGTGCTAAAAGCAAGAGCCTAGCCCTTCAGCAAATCAATGCTGTCATGTGGTCTGCTTCCTATAGCATTGACTTCCCAATGAAATTGCACTATTCCACTCCAAAGGGTCCCCTTCAGTATTGATATACTTTGTTTGATCTCATCTCCTCTATGGAGAGTTTCTATTATCCATCTTATTTTAACAGTGGCATTCCATTGTACTAGTCAGAAAAAATAGTAAGCACTCAATAGTACTGTGTTTTGATGAAAGATATTGGCAAATGGAGAAAAAGGCAGGTACATGGGACCGAATGGATTGCTCTTTTAAAGAACCAGTGCTGGCACAATGGGCTGAATAGCCTTCTTTGGTGTTGTAAATTTCTAAAGCTTACTGTTGCAGTTTGTTCATAGTTTGTAACTAGAATTTTTTTGTATGACAAAATAAATGTTCTATCATTGGCTCATTGACGTGAGGGGCAGAGTCCTTGAACACATGCTTTTTGGAGTTTTGAAATCAATTGATCCCAGATCAGGAATAATAGTCAATGAAAAAGGTAGTGTAGTTAAGATTGTTTGAACAATTTGATTTCTTCCTTCAATAGAACTCACCCAGCTACTTTCCATTGCAGTTTCAAATATCTCTTAACTGAGTTAAAAACCCTAACCTCAGCTGTCCTTCCTGGTAACCCATTCTAGTTGTTCCTTACATTCTATAGTAAATAAGTATTTTCCACCATCGATCCTAAACTTGCTCTTCACAACGCTGAAGATGTGCCCTCATTTCCTGCTGCCTTGACAAACTTGAAAATATTATTCCGGGTTTACTTTCTCTTTCCCATTTAGCTCGTTATACAACTCTGTAAAGTTCCTTTGAAATTATTTCTTTAGAAAGGCTTTGAAGGTTAATGAGTCCTACGTTGATCTAATTCCCTCAAAGCTCATCTCTGGGCATCCCACTGGGCATCATCATCTTTGCTGTCTAGTGAACAGTGTTTTGGACTTACGAACAGCGACCAGAACTTTTCAAGGTGTGCTCCAGTGTCAGCTTTCTAACAGAAATTTGGTATGACATTTTATTTCTGCTCACAAATGCACACACAAACACAAAATTGTATATCGACGCTTTCAAGGTCAAGTTTCCACGTGTCAGAATACTTACCAATCTTTGTGCCTTAAGCTTATAATTGGGGAAATTCCTAATAATGTCAAGGTCGATAAATATTTACCAAAAAGCGAAGTATTAACCATCGTCCTACAATGTCAAAATTAAGATGCTGTGGGAAAATGGTTTATATTCCCATCTATTTAAACTGGCTGCCATCTACAGCAGAACAAGGAGCCAGCACAACATATTGGCTGAACACAATGTGAGCTGAAGGACATGTGCTGTTGCTGACGTTTGCTTTCTTGCTGTTTGTGAACAGGTAAGACATTTTCAGCTGCTGACAAACAATGTGCCAGAGCAGGCTGAGTATGCAGCATTTCTCTTGGAGCTTTGAAAGCAAACTGCAAAATTACAGAATAATAATCATAATAATTCCATTTGATATAGCACTTTTCTCACCGGGAGGACATCTCAAAGCGTTTCACATTATGTACTGCAAACGACGTAATGTAACAACTGAGTCAATTGTTAGAAAATTACAAATTAGATACAAATTAGATTAAGTCAATCATTTTGCAGATCAGTTCAATCTTCCTGAGAGAGATTTATAATCGTATAATAAAATGTGCAAGAAGATAAAGTATTCAATCTCCCCCGAAGATGTTTAGTAACTGCATTTGTTGGCGATGGAAATCCTGGTTGCTCTTTCAGAAACTTTGCACACAATTAGCAGGGTGATAATTGCATGGTGTATTTGATGGTTTTCACTGGTTATTATAATTAGCAACTGTCCATGCCTATGATTTTCCCTCTCCCTCTTCTGGTTGTTACACCAGAGTTACTGTCAGAGTGCGGCTTCCAAGTGAATGGATAATGGCTTTACATAAAATTACATGGAATGTTACAGCACGGAAATAGGGCATACAGCACAACTAGCCCATGCCGATGTTTAAACTCCGCACAGGCCTCTGCACAGGCCTCCCTCCGCACCTCCTAATACCCTCTTCTATATCACTCTGTTCTTGGTTATTTTAATCAACTGCCTCGCCCATATTTTTTTGACAATGTGATGATCAAAATGAAAATTGTTATGTCAATTGAAGGCCCGTCATCGCCTTCTCAGCCACAAGGGATGAACAAAGACATAAATACTGGGCCTTCCAGTGACTCTCACATCCCGAAGCAATTAAAAGAAAACCTCTGATCACTTTCACCCCAGTATTACAAGTGTAGATTTCCTGATAATGTATATGGAATCAAAACAAGATGATTTCATTTACCCTTGCAATGCATCCCAGTACCTGTTGTTATGTTTTGATCAGTTTGGTTAGTAACCACACTTAGAACAATCTTCCATTTCCACAGTTGTTAATTGCATTGTTCGTGTTTCTGCTTTCAGCCTGAATTACCTGGTATTTATTTGGATTGAAATCTACCTGCAGTTCCTTAACCTATTTGTCTTAATGCAGAATAACAAAAGGTCACGGGTGTCGGGCTGGCTCTGTTGGGAGCGCTTATGCCTCTGAGTCAGGAGATTGCAGGTTCAAGCCTCACGTAGGGATTTGGAACTCATAACCACATCTGATACTCCAGTGCAGTGCTGGGGATGCGCTGCATTGTTGGAGGTGCCATCCTTCGGTTGAAACGCTAAACCAAGGTCCCAACTGCCTGTTCTGGTGGACGTTAAAGATCCCATGAGACGATTCAAAAGGAAAAGGGAGTTTCTCCCAATATTTGGCATATAATCCCTGAGATAAAAATGACCATAAATTTCACGGCTGTTTGGAGACATTGCTTGGTTCAAATTGGCTGCTTCATTCACCTAAAAAATACACAGTCATTCCACTTTACAGTAAAATCCTATTGAGATGTGTCCTGACATGAATAGTGCTATATATAAAATGCAAGGATTTTTATTATTATTTTATTATAATAGGGAACATTTCACCCCAAATCTTGACTGTCCACCAGTAGACACCAATAAAACTGGGTAGACATTCATGAAACAGTCTAATAAAACTGGGCATTTTCTAATTTGAAACAATCAGCACTAAATGTATCTTGTGATCTCATGGAGGCCTTTTTGCCATAGACTTGGTTGCAGGAAAATGGTTTATTCATAGTCGTGCTTCTCAGGAAGTTTCAAACAACATTCCTTGAAAATGTACATATATTATAATACCTGGCTGAACAAAATGTGTGCAAGTCAATTTAAATTAATTGAGAAAAAGAGTGTAATGTACATAGAATTTAGATATTCATGAGTTATTTGAAATTCACAGTGATTGAATCTGTATAAATACTACAGAAAAGCTCTTAAGGTCAACCCTGTAAAGTGGATTTAACCTGTAGCAAATAATGGCACAGAGGACTAAAAGGGCCAGTGTCTTTGTGAAAAAAAAGTCTTAGCAAACAAAATAAGGAGGTTTTCAGACAATGAAGAAGACTTTAAAAAAAAGGTTGCTCCAAACTTCCCAAATTGGTCATTGATATTTAAAAGAAGAAAAAAGAAAGATGCATGATAGATTTCAGAGGTTAATGTAGATCAAAATGTTTGGAATGAATAGAAAATACTGTCGTAAGAAGGTCAATTCAGGTTCTCAGGGCAGATATATTTTTTAACTCTGGCACATTTTTACTGATAAGACTGCACGACTATAAACTTTAGTAGTCTTTGTCTGTGAATAAACACAGTATCCTCAGTCATTGTGCTGCAGATCTCTGGAATCCCTCTCCCAATATCCCTTTGCCTTACACAACCTGCTCTTCCTGCTTTGAAAATATATTTCTTTATCTGTGGCTTTGATCAATTTTTTTGTGTTTTTGGTCAGCCAGATGTCTGACACATATTCGGAAACCCATCACCATGCATAAAAATATCCAAACCAAACTGAGATTTCCATGCATCCCACCTACACATGGAAACCCCAGAGATAGATTGTTGGAATGGAATGCGCACTCTCTCCCTGGAGGGACACATCCTGCTTACACCATTCCGGAAAGTATTAGGTGCAGGTTGGCAAGAGCCAAGGCTTGGGGACCGCAGAGTGTGTTGAGGTACTGGTGGAGTCTAACTAGCTAAAATGGCATAGCTTTCCAATGATATTGCTGTCCGGCAAGCTTTCTTGCTGTTTGTCCAACTAGGACCACCCTACCCATTAGAGCTTTGGCTTGCAGGGTTAACAGGAGCTGAGTGGGATGACTCCCTGCCACCAGTGATTGGTCTGCCCTTCCAGGTCCCGCCGATGAACCAGGCTGTGCTGTCACCAGCAGTGCCATGGAGTACTGACATTCCATTGCCAGGCATGTCACCTTGGAGCCAGTTCAGCTCCAAGGAGACCCCACTTTCTCTCACCCTCAAACTCCCCCTTCATTCCTTCGATCTTAGTGAAATATAGGAATACTGTGAGATACACAACTAAGATATTGAGGAACGACAGGATCCAGTATGAATGATTGAAATAGCTGTATATTTATATTTTGGTACAATGAATCCTATATTGATACAGTACATCGGGTGGGGTGTTAGCCAGCTGGGTGCCTGTCCGTCTATGATCAATATGGAATTTCAACACCATGCTTTTTAGCATCCAAACTAGAATAAGAGTTCCAAATATTTAAGCTGCCTACATATT